CTCATGGCCTTCCCCGGTTCCTCCGGTACCACCCGCAGCCGCCGCACCTACCCGTTCGAAGGCCCCGACCCCGTCGTCATCCGCGATCTCAACATCCTAGCTTGGGTTCCCGTCGTCCTCGATCACCTCACCTCCACCTACTATGCCTGGAAGACATACTTCTCCCTTGTATTCGGTGAGTACAATCTCCAGGATCACATCGATGGCTCCGTGAACTCCCGCTTCATGGAGGACGATGAGGAGTGGACGTCCATCGACGCCACTCTCATCCGTTGGTTCTAGACCACCATCTCGAAGGACCTCTTCCACACGGTGGTCTCCGCCGACGATGACGCTCACGCCGTTTGGACTAAGCTCACCGACCTCTTCACTGACAATGCGCTCCAACGCAAGGTTTTCTTGCACGGCGAGTTTTTTGGGTGCCTGAAGCTGGAGGAGAGGGGGATGCGGATGTCGCGCACCCGGGCCACCCACATGGCCCTCACCGCCGGTACCCGCGGCGGTGCGCCGCCCACCGCCCCGGCTCCCCCGCCGCGGCCTGCCCCGGGCCCCTTCCAGGCGCCGCCGCCGCGCGGGTTCCCCTACCCGGCGCCGCAGCAGGCCCCCCCGCCGCCCCTCGCCGAGCAGCAGCAGCGCCGAGGCGGGTGCCACGGCCGAGGTGGCCGCAAATAGCAGCAGCAGCAGCCGGCTGCCCACGGCAGGGCACCGCGCCAGTCCCAGCAGCAGCTCCCGCCGGCACCCTGGCAGGCCGGCCAGAACCCTTGGACGGGGGTCGTTCACGCGTACTCCATGCCCGTACCGCATGCCCCCGTCCCCGGCTTCTTTGGCGCCCGCCTAGTATCCCATCAGGCGCTTTACGCGGCCCCTCAGCCGTACCCGCCGGCGCCACTCTACGACCCCTCTGCGGCCTATGGGCTGCCTTCGGCCGGTGGGTTCGCGGCGCCGCTGCCACAGCCACTGTCGCCAGCACAGTTGGCGTCTTGGGACCCCGCGCTTCTAGCGGCCCTCCACACCGCCCCCACGCCACAGCAGTACACTGGCGGTGGCGACTGGTATATGGACACCGGAGCCACGGCTCACATGGCCGCCAACCCTGGTAACCTTCTTACCGCTCACGCCATTCACACCACTGCTCGCATTAGCGTGGGTGACAGTTCTTCCATGCCTATTACTCATGTCGGTCATGCTGCTTTTCCTTCTAACTCCATGCCATTATACCTTTCTAACGTACTTGTCTCCCCTGACATTATTAAAAACCTTGTTTCCGTTCGTTCTCTTACACGTGAAAATCCTGTCACCGTTGAATTTGACATGTTTGACTTTTCTATTAAGGATGCCCGTACCTGGATGGTGCTCCACCGATGTGACAGCCCTGATGAGCTCTAGCCGGTCCACTCATCCACCTCCTCCGTTGCTGCACCCATGGCACTTTCCGCTGGAGTGGACCTTTGGAATGCTTGTCTCGGGCATCCCAACACCGCCACCCTTCGTCATATTCTTCGTAGTTTTTCATTCACGTGTAATAAGATCGACGATCACACTTGTTATGCTTGTGGTCTCGGCAAACATGTTCGTCTTCCTTTTTAGCACTTCCTCGCACGTTGCATCATACCCGTTTCAGTTAATTCATAGAGATGTTTGGACCTCTCCTGTTGCAAGTAACACGGGCTATCTTTATTATCCTGTCATACTTGATGATTTCTCGCACTATGTGTGGACCTTCCCGTTGCGGCGAAAGTCGGATTCTGTTGGCACTCTCACCGCGTTCTACTCATATGTCTCCACGCAGTTTGGCCGGCCCATTCATGCATTGCAAACAGACAACAAGAAGGAGTTTGATAACCTTGCGATCCGCAACCTTCTCGCCACACACGGCACGATTTTTTGTCTCACTTTCCCATACACTTCGCAACAAAATGGCCGCCCTGAGCGCGTGCTTTGCACTCTTAATGACTGCGCTCGCACCCTCCTCTTTCATGCCAACGTGCCACCACGTTTTTGGCCCGACGCGCTTGCCACCGCATCACTACTCCTCAACATCCGTCCCTGTCGCACTCGCGGGAATTTTGCACCTCATCACCTTTTTTTCGGCGCGCCACCCTCCTATGCTGAGCTCCGCATCTTCGGTTGTCTGTCTTACCCTAGCATTGCTTTCACTACTCCTCATAAGCTCGCACCAAGGTCTGTGGCATGCATTTTTCTCGGCTATCCCCCCAACACCAAAGGCTACCGCTGGTATGATCCTATCTCACATCGGGTGATCACTTCCCGACACGTTGACTTTGATGAGTTGGTTTTTCCGTTTCAGCAGGTATCTTCGGATGTTGTGCTTTGCCCATTCCCGGTGACGGCCGCTCGCGTGCTTCTCTTGGGCCGCCTCCCGGCTTTGAGGGTGCCCCCCCGCGCCACGGGCCGAGTTTCTCCCCGGCTGCCTGCCTTAGGGGCTGCACCCCTCCTGGCGCCCGCGACGCCCTTGGCGTCCCTGGCCCCGACCGCACCGTCAGCCTCCCCGACACCCGCGACGCCGTCAGCCTCCCCGGTGGCCGCGACGCCCTCCTCGGCGTCCCCCGCGCCCTCGCCCGCGGCGGCCTCGCCCGCGCCCTCGCCCGCGGCGGCCTCGCCTGCGGCATCGGAGGTGACAGGCTCTTCTTCGTCTTCGCCCGCCATAGACCCGGACTCGCTGCCCCGCCCGATGACTCGCTCTCGGGCTGGCACTTTCCACCCGAGTACACGATACACTAGCGATGAGTACCTTCTCGCTGCTTCCGTCTCTGAGCCGTCTCCTCTCCCATCGGCAGCTCGAGCCGCCCTTCGGGATCCTCATTGGCTCGCTGCGATGCAGGAAGAGTTCGACGCGCTCCAACGGAACCGCACCTGGCAGCTTGTTCCTCGGCCGCCTCGTGTCAACATCATCACGGGAAAGTGGGTCTTTCGGCACAAGACTTGTTCGGATGGCACTCTCGAGCGCTACAAAGCTCGCTGGGTGGCTCGGGGCTTTCCACAATGTGTGGGCGTGGACTTTACCGACACTTTTGCCCCGTTTGTTAAACTAGGCATGATCCGCACCATGCTTCAGCTAGCTGTCTCCCGAGCTTGGCTTGTGCATCAGTTGGATGTCTCCAACGCCTTCTTGCACGGTCACCTCGCTGAGCAGGTGTTCTGTGAGCAGCCCACCGGCTTCGTCAACGCCACGCATCCAGATCATGTGTGCTTGCTCTCCCGTTCCCTATACGGGTTGAAGCGGGCGCCTCGGGCCTGGTACCAGCGCATCGCTGCATTCCTGTAGACGCTCGGATTTACATCGACTCGCTCTGATGCGTCCCTCTTCGTGTACCATCACGGAGCTGACACGGCCTACTTGTTGCTCTAGGTCGATGACATCATCTTGACGGCATCCACTGTCGCGCTCCTCCAGCGGCTCACTGCTCGTCTTTGCTATGAGTTTGCCATGAAGGACTTGGGGCCCTTGCACTACTTCCTTGGCATTGAGGTGGTTCGACGGCCAGATGGGTTCTTCCTGCATCAGCAGCGCTACGCCCATGAGCTTCTCGATCGAGCCGGCATGCTTAACTGCAAGCCCGCTCCCACACCTGTCGACACCAAGGCCAAGGTTTTCGCTCTGGAGGGTTCTCCTGCATCCGATGTGTCCTTCTCTCGCTCCATTGTGGGTGCTTTGCAGTACCTGACCCTGACGCGCCCTGACTTGCAGTATGCTGTTCAGCAGGTCTGTCTTCACATGCATGCTCCGCGTGACTCTCGCTGGACCTTGGTGAAGCGTATCCTCCGTTACATACGCGGCACCCCGTCCATGGGACTTACACTCACGGCCTCCGCCTCCACCGACCTCGTCGCCTACTCTGATGTGGACTGGGCTGGCTGCCCGGATACACAGCGCTCTACTTCGGGGTACTGTGTCTACCTTGGCCCGTCTCTGATCTCTTGGTCCTCCAAGCGACAACCCACCGTCTCCTGCTCGAGTGCCGAGGCAAAGTATCGGGCAGTGGCTAACGCCGTTGCCGAATGCTCTTGGCTTCGTCAGCTGCTCCAGGAGTTGCTTTGTGATGTCCACAAGGCCACGCTCGTCTACTGCGACAACGTCTCCGCCGTGTACCTTTCCGCCAACCCGGTCCACCATCGACGAACGAAGCATATTGAGCTCGACATACACTTTGTTCGTGAGCAGGTGGCTCTTGGGCGCATCCGGATTCTCCACGTCCCGACGGTGCAACAGTTCGCCGATGTCATGACAAAAGGACTGCCTACTTCTGTTTTTTAGGAGTTTACGTCCAATCTTTGCATCTCTGGCGACGCTTCGACCGCGGGGGGTGTTGAATATATGGTTTGTGCATGTATATTGTATAGGCCGGCCCACCTCCTAGTCATTGTATAGTTGATGTTGTGGCTCATCTTGTACTCCATATATACGTGTGCTATGCACCGATCAATACATCGTGAAGCATTGCCAAAACACTCGTTTTCAACACTAACTACCAGGCCCACGTTACCTCAAGCCCACATATTACTCACGTAAAAAGCCGGAAGTGTGATGGATGCGAGGACAGTTATGACGAAGCACTCAATTAACGAAACAAATTAGCTAAACTTACGGGCCTGACTAAGGGCATGTACAATAGTTGATAGAATAGTCTTATCTTAAGTCTTGCATGTATTTTAGAAATGACAAAAAAGTATGTCTACAATGAGTTACATCTTAGCCTTATCTTCAATAATTAGCAATTCCTTAAAATATGGTGAGACAAATTATGTTAAGAGATCATCTTTTATCTTATCTTAAATAAAATAAAACAAGCCTTTTTTTATGAGTTCTCTCTCGTCCACCTTCGCACTACTAAAATAGCACCATTGTACATTACATCGGACGTCTACCATGCTTTGGATCGAACGGACAAGGAGTGGTCTGACGGGGAGCCAAACATCAGTAGTCTGATGCCCCATCTTCAAAACTTGTCGAGTCGATCAATCAGCTGGCACCCAAGCCAATGTGCCAACACTCCTCAAAAACAGAAGTCATGCCCCGCGTAAACTCCTCAAAAACAGACGGCAGGAGGTGCGCGTCCAAGCCAATGTGCCAACACTCCAACACCCTTCTGCACTTCCTCCGCCACGTCTCCTTCCCGCCGGACGCGCACCTCCTGCCGTCCGCGCTCAAGTCATGCCCCGCGCAGCCCCTCGCCCGCGCGCTCCACGCGGCCGCCGCGGTCTCCGGCCTTGCGGAGGATCCCTTCGTCGCCTCCTCGCTCCTCCACACCTACCTCCGCCTCGGAGCCACCAGCGACGCCCGCGGCGTGTTCGAAAGAATGCCGGACAAGAGTGTCGTCGGCTGGAGCGCACTCATCGCCGGTTACTCTGCACGAGGCGATGCCAAGGCCGCGTGGGGCCTTCTGGAGCGGATGCGGAGCGCCGGCGTGGAGCCGAATGTGATCACCTGGAATGGACTGGTTTCCGGGCTGAACCGGAGCGGCAGCGCCCTCGACGCTGTCAAGGCATTTGTGAGGATGCACGGGGAAGGGTTCTTGCCGGACGCCACCGGTGTCTCGTGTGCACTCTCTGCGGTCGGGGATGTGAAAGAGGTCTCGGTTGGCGAGCAGCTGCATGGATATGTGGTGAAGGCAGGGTGCAGGCTAGATCAACATGTGGTCACTGCGCTCATCGACATGTACGGCAAGTGTGGGCGTGCTGATGAGATTTCTCACGTGTTCCATGAGTCCAGCCACATGGATGTTGCTACCTGCAACGCTCTCGTCGCTGGGCTCTCTCGGAACGCCCAGGTCTCTCAGGCATTGTTGCTGTTCAGCGAGTTTGTTAGCCGAGGAGTCGAGTTGAATGTTGTGTCTTGGACCTCGATTGTTGCCTGCTGTGTGCAGAATGGGAAAGATTTGGAAGCGGTGGATCTTTTCAGGAAGATGCAGTCAAAAGGGATCGAGCCAAATTCAGTCACGATACCCTGCGTATTGCCAGCATTTGCCAATGTTGCTGCTCTTATGCATGGCCGGTCAGCACACTGTTTTTCTCTTAGGAAGGGATTTCTTCATGACGTTTACGTTGGCAGTGCGTTGGTGGACATGTATGCAAAGTGTGGCAAGGTCAGGGATGCGAGGACGATCTTCGATGCAATCCCGTCTAAAAATACGGTTTCGTGGAATGCGATGATTGGTGGCTATGCAATGCATGGGGAGGCCGCAAATGCTGTGCAGTTGTTCTGTTTGATGCAGAAGTGCAAACAGAAGCCCGACCTAGTCACATTCACCTGTGTCATTGGTGCCTGTGGCCAAGCTGGCCTGACAGAGGAGGGGCGTCGCTACTTCAGTGAAATGCAGCATAGTCATGGCATTTCCCCGAGGATGGAGCATTATGCATGTATGGTTACTCTGTTAGGACGGGCTGGCAAGCTTGATGAGGCATACGATCTCATAAATGAGATGCCATTTGAGCCAAATGGTTGTATTTGGGGGTCCTTGCTGGGCTCCTGCAGGGTTTATGGAAATGTGTTCCTGGCCGAAGTCGCAGCAGAAAAGCTATTTGAACTAGAGCCAGAAAATACCGGCAACTATGTCCTGCTTTCCAACATTTATGCGTCTAAAAAAATGTGGGACGGGGTAAGTAGAGTGAGGGATCAGATGAAGAATATGGGATTGAAGAAAGAAAAGGGTTGCAGTTGGATAGAGATCAAGAACAAGGTGCACATGTTGTTTGCTGGTGACAATTCACACCCCATGATGACTGCGATAACGGAGAAACTAAAGCAGCTTACCATTGAGATGAGCAGGCTGGGCTTTGCACCGAGCACAGATTTTGTCCTACATGATGTGGAAGAACAAGAAAAGGATGATATCCTTGCTGTGCACAGTGAAAAGCTGGCTGTTGCATTGGGCCTCATAAGCACGAGCCCAGGAACACCCCTCCGGGTGATAAAGAACCTCCGGATTTGTGGTGATTGCCACGAAGCAATGAAGTTCATATCATGTTTTGAGGGGAGGGAGATATCTGTTAGAGACACCAACAGGTTTCATCACTTCAAGGATGGGAAATGTTCTTGTGGGGATTACTGGTGATTTTGCCTGCCTTGACTTACTGTCTGTTCAACAACTTGGTGTAGAAGGTGAATGAGCATGCATGTCCCCCTACCTTACGGTGGATATTGTTTTCACGAGGTAATGTAAAATTATTATATGAAAAGTAAGAAACAGAATCCAACATGCGGACCTGTGCATTATATGCAGAGCCTAAGAAAAGTTCACTCCTATGCTATGTTGGTAGAACCAGGGGTCCTACCGGATCTGCTCCGGAGGTTGTAGGGGAAGGATGGAGTGGGACGGGGCGATGATCGGGTGCGCCGGCGGCTGGGCGCCGTCGCGTCGGAGGGAGATGGCGGCGGCGGCTAGGGTTAGAGGCGGCTAGGTTTCCGGCTCCTCTGGGAGCCGGGCAATAGGGATAATAATATTCTTATTGCTTAATTCCAAAAAGAGTCTTACAACCTATATTTATAACCTAGATAACTTGCATAAGAATTAACCTAAGATAACTTGCATAAGAATTAACTTAAGATAACTTGTGGGCTAAGATTGCCCGGTGGGCCTAGCTAAACCGGCCATAACACTTCTCCCCGCCTGCACAAACAGCTCGTCCTCGAGCTGTAAGGTGGGGAAGTGCTTGCGGAACTCCTCGAGGCGATCAACCAGCGTCAAACACCTTCTCGACAGCTGGGGCGGCCAGGTCGGCGGCGTCGGCGTCCTCCGGAATGTAGTCTGCAACCTCCAGGTAGAAGAGTCGCGGGCAGGCATGGCCGGGCGTGTACGGCTCGTCGCAGTTGAAGCACAACCCTTGACGGCGACGCTCGAGTAACTCGGCTGAGGTGAGCCGGCGGAACGGGCGCGCTGCGGTCGTGGTGAGGGGTGCCGCAGAAGCCTGCGCAGGCCGACCTTGCGCGCAATCCGGCCCGGGTAGCGACCCAGCGGTCCGGGATGGTGATTCCTGCTGGATGGCCACCGCGCGGTGCTCGAACGCGCGGGCGTAGTACATGGCCGACTGGAGATCCTGGGGTCCCTGAAGCTCCACGTCCATGCGGATGTGATCTGGAAGTTCGCCGACAAAGAGGTCGGCCCGCTGTTGCGCCGTCATGCCCGACGCATGGCATGCCAGGGCCTGGAAACGGTCGGCGAAGTCCTGCACCGTGGAGGTGAAGGGAAGGCGGCCGAGCTCCGCCAGGCGGCTCCCGCGAACCGGAGGCCCAAAGCGAAGGAGGCATAGCTCGCAGAAGCGCTCCCAAGGAGGCATGCTGCCCTCGTCCTGCTCGAGGGCGTAGTACCAGGTCTGGGCTGCACCGCGGAGGTGGTAGGATGCCAGCCAAGTGCGCTCCGACGCGAGCGTGCGCTGGCCACGGAAAAACTGCGCACACTGGTTGAGCCAGTTAAGCGGGTCCTCCATGCCGTCATAAGTGGCGAAATCGATCTTGGCGAACCGTGGCGGCGTCTGGGTCGGCGCGCCATGGCCGACCGGCTCGGCGGTGCGGAGCAGTGATGATGACGGTGCCCGGTCAACGGTGGGAAGGCCGTCATAGGCCCTCGCGGAGCCGAACGAGGCCCCAGACTGCAGCGTGGGTACCGGTGGGTCCCCGGCCTTTGTGTAAACTGGCGGTGGCGACATCCCGGTTAGCCAGGCCGGGATCGGGGACGGTGACGGCGGAAACCGGACCTGCTGGATCGGAAGTCCTCCCGGTGTGGACTGGCCCAGTCTGGAGCTGGGCGGCGGCGGTGGGAGCTGGACCGGCGCGGTTGGCGCGGCTGGGGCCGGCGCGGGC